CGTCCCGGGCGTCATGCGGGCGACTAAGTTAGTCCAAGCGCGCCACCCAATGCCATGCGTGCCACGCCTACCACAGGCGACCCGATGGCTCAGTTGGTATGGCGTTGGTCTTGCCAGTGCTGAAAAATTGCCGGTGGTGGTTCGAATCCCTGCTGGTCCACTCGGGAGTCTCAAGTGCGACCCGCCGAAAAGCAACGGGCGCCGACAAAAAAAAAGAGTGCCACGCCTGCCACGCAAAACGACGGTGGATGTGAGGTTGTGCCACGCCTGCCACGCAAAACGACGGCGGATGTGAGGTGACGGTGGATGTGAGGTTGTGCCACGCCTGCCACGCAAAGTGCCGCGGCGTCCCGGGCGTCACGCGGGCGACCAAGCCAGTCCAACGCGCCACCCTGAGTGCCACGCCTGCCACGCAAAACGACGGTGGATGTGAGGTTGTGCCACGCCTGCCACGCAAAACGACAATGGATGTGAGGTTGCGCAGGAAGGATCCGAAGACTAAAACGAACAGTACCCTTCACCTTCAGAAGGCTTGAAGGGGGGCTTGAAGGGGGGGCTTCAAGGGGGGCTTCAAGCCCTTCTCAAGGGGGCTTGAAGGGGGCTTCACCTTTGTGAAGCATTCAACGGCTTTAAGGGGGCTTGAGAACGGCTTCAAGGGGGCTTCAAGGGGGCTTCAAGGGGCTTCAAGGCGGCTTGAGAAGGGCTTTAAGGGGGCTTCAAGCAACCTTGAGAAAGCTTCGAAGGGGGCTTGAAGGGGGCTTGAGAAGGGCTTCAAGGGGGCTTCAAGGGGGCTTGAGAAGGGCTTCAATGGGGCTTCAAGGCGAAGGGGGCTTCAAGGGCGCTTGAAGGGGGCTTCAGAAGGGCTTCAGGGGCTTGAGAAGGGCTTTGAAGGGGGCTTCAAGGTGAAGAGGGCTTCAAGGCAGCTTGGTGGGGGCTTCAGAAGGGCTTCAGAGGGCTTCAAGGGGGCTTCAGAAAGGTTTGAAGGGGGTTTGAGCAAGGTTCGAAAGGTGCTTGAGAAAGGCTTGAAGCGGCTTGAGAAGTTTTTGAGAAGGTTGCGCCGCCGCCATAATCTAAAATCTAACTCTTTATTTAAACTTCCCCCCCTTGCCTTCCACTATGCCATGATCTAAATTCTAAGTCTTTATTTGAACTTCCCCCCCCTTGCCTTCCACAATGCCATGATCTAAAACCTAACTCTTTATTTAAACTTCCACCCCCTTGCCTTCCACAATGCCATGATCTAAATTCTAAGTCTTTATTTAAACTTCCCCCCCTTGCCTTCCACAATGCCATGATCTAAAATCGAATTCTTTATTTAAACTGTTCCCCCCCTTGCCTTCCACAATGCCATGATCTAAATTCTAAGTCTTTATTTAAACTTCCCCCCCTTGCCTTCCACAATGCCATGATCTAAAATCGAATTCTTTATTTAAACTTCCCCCCCTTGCCTTCCACAATGCCATGATCTAAATTCGAAGTCTTTATTTAAACTTCCCCCCCTTTGCCTTCCAAAATGCCATGATCTCAAATCCAACTCTTTATTTAAACTTCCCCCCCCTTGCCTTCCACAATGCCATGATCTAAATTCTAAGTCTTTATTTGAACTTCCCCCCCCTTGCCTTTGCCAATGCCATGATCTAAAATCGAACTCTTTATTTAAACTTCCGTTCCCTTGCCATCCACTATGCCATAGTCTAAAATCTAACTCTTTATTTAAACTTCCCCCCCTTGCCTTCCATTATGCCATGATCTAAAACATTTAAACTTCCACCCCCTTGCCTTCCACAATGCCATGATCTAAATTCTAAGTCTTTATTTAAACTTCCCGCGCCTTCCACAATGCCATGATCTAAATTCTAGGTCTTTATTTAAACTTCCCCCCCTTGCCTTCCACAATGCCATGATCTAAAATCGAATTCTTTATTTAAACTTTTCCCCCCTTGCCTTCCACAATGCCATGATCTAAAATCTAACTCTTTATTTAAACTTCTCTTCCCTTGCCATCCACAATGCCATAATCTAACATCTAACTCTGTATTTCGTACCAGTCATGTACATCAGCTACATCATTTACATCATCTGAAACAGCCGTTGTTACACAGGAGTTAGGGCACCGAAGTTGTCGCACAGAAGTTCTTACATAAAAGAGCCCTTTGGCTTTGGGAAGGGCTTGGGCGGGCTTCCAGGGGGCTGGACGGGGGCTTCAGAAGGGCTTGAAGGAGGCTTGCGGGGCTTGAGACCCGTTCAAGGTGGCTTCAAGGGGGCTTGAGAAGGGGTTCAAGGGGGCTTCAAGGGGGCTTGAGAAGGGCTTGAAGGTGGCTTGCTTGAAGGGGGCTTCAAGGGGGCTTGAGAAGGGCTTCAAGGGGGGCTTCAAGGGGGGCTAGAAGGGCTTGAAAGGGGGCTTCAAGAGGTGAAGTGGGCTCAAGGGCTTGAAGGGGGCTTGAAGGGGCTTGAAGGGGTCTTGAGACGGGCTTCAACAAGGGGGCTTCAAGGGGGCTTTGATGAAGGGCTTTCAAGGGGCTTTCAAGGGGGGCTTCAAGCCCTTCTCACCTTCGTGCCCCCCCCCCCCGGGAAGGGACCCTTCAAGCGCCCCTTGAAGGGTACCTTCGAAGGTGGTGGCTCGGATCCAGCCCCAGGTTGTGCCACGCCTGCCACGCAAAGTGCCGCGGCGTCCCGGGCGTCACGCGGGCGACCAAGCCAGTCCAAGCGCGCCACCCAGTGCCATGGGTGCCACGCCTGCCACGCAAAACGACGGTGGATGTGAGGTTGCGCCACGCCTGCCACGCAAAACGACGGTGGATGTGAGGTGACGGTGGATGTGAGGTTGTGCCACGCCTGCCACGGAAAACGCGGTGGATGTGAGGTTGTGCCACGCCTGCCACGCAAAACGACGGTGGATGTGAGGTTGTGCCATGCCTGCCACGCAAAGTGCCGCGGCGTCCCGGGCGTCACGCGGGCGACCAAGCCAGTCCAAGCGCGCCACCCAGTGCCATGAGTGCCACGCCTGCCACGCAAAACGACTTTTTTTCCGACGCCTTCATGGCTTTCGCCAGGTCGTTCAACATGTTTTATTGCATGTTGCAAATTGGGATCAATTGATTAATTATTTGCATGCTTAGAAGCCTGCCACGCAAAACGACGGTGGATGTGAGGTTGTGCCATGCCTGCCACGCAAAACCACGGTGGATGTGAGGTGACGGTGGATGTGAGGTTGTGCCACGCCTGCCACGCAGTCCAAGCGCGCCACTCAGTGCCATGAGTGCCACGCCTGCCACGCAAAACGACGGTGGATGTGAGGTTGTGCCACGCCTGCCACGCAACACGATGGTGGATGTGAGGTTGTGCCACGCCTGCCACGCAAAGTGCCGCGGCGTCCCGGACGTCACGCGGGCGACCAAGCCAGTCCAAGCGCGCCACCCAGTGCCATGAGTGCGACGCCTGCCACGCAAAACGACGGTTGTGCCACGCCTGCCACGCAAAGTGTGTGTGTGTGTACGGTGGATGTGAGGTTGTGCCACGCCTGCCACGCAAAGTGCCGCGGCGTCCCGGGCGTCACGCGGGCGACCAAGCCAGTCCAAGCGCACCACGCGGCGTCCCGGGCGTCACGCGGGCGACCAAGCCAGTCCAAGCGCGCCACCCAGTGCCATGAGTGCCACGCCTGCCACGCAAAACGACGGTGGATGTGAGGTTGTGCCACGCCTGCCACGCAAAACGACGGTGGATGTGAGGTTGTGCCACGCCGGCCACGCAAAGTGCCGACGATTGTGCCACGCCTGCCACGCAAAGTGTGTGTGTGTGTTGTGTGTGTGTGTGTGGTGGTGTGTGTGTGTGGGTGTGTGTGTGTGGTGGTGTGTGTGTGTGTGATGTGTGTGTGGTGTGTGTGTGTGTGGGGTGTGTGTGATGTGTGTGTGTGTTTTTTTTCCACGCTCCTTTTTCTGAAGTCAGACTCGGCGCTAGCCACAGATGTTTCGTGTAAACATCTGGTTCTCTTTGTGAGAAGCAGTCCCTACGCACCGTAGCAGCCTACCACATCAGGCGGGAAAAGATGTGGCAGCTCATGTTGCTCGGACGAGCTACGGCATGGCCTTAGGTCTCTAGTTGGCCTATGTGACTCTGGACAGGTGTCACGTTGGTCACCGCATGGTGAGACGTCTCTAATTGAGAAACAACAGAATTGTTTTTTTTTATACTGGCCATCTTGAAACGTTGGGCTGTGCCTCTTGGACCAGTTTATGTGACACTGGGGGTACACCCTGGGATACAGGGGGCCTGAAAGCGGGGTCGGGGATCTACCAGTTTGGGCAACTGGGTGCATGGGGGCTGGCAACATGCAGTTGCATGGGAACATCGTGTTCCAAGGCAGGCTGAAATGACTCAGTGTCCGATGAGAAATCCGGCAGGCAATGATGGGGTATCTGCATGACTTCATGTTGGGTTATTAAAGCATCCTCAACCAGCAAACATGGAAATTCGGTGGCAAAAGGCCATCTGACTGAATTTGGTGGAAGCGCCGACTAGGCCTTAGCAAAATGCCGATTGGAAAACGCCAAATGCGCGGAGAGGCACGTCAACCTGAAAACAGGTACCCTCGGTAGTGCAGCAGCATCAACATTGGCAAAATGCCAGAAAGAAATTGGTGGTCGCCTACTAGGCCTTAGCAAAATGCCGAAGATTTGTGCATCCAAATGAGCTCACTAAAAAATGCCAACATGTCCGAATGGCGCGCTGGGGCATTGGCAACACCGATAGGGTGCTGTGTCCGGCCAGTTCCTGATGTCAGAATCGCTGGGCGACCCACTAGGGGAGTTTGCCACGTTGGATTCCATGGTGAGACGAATGATTTTTTTTTTGGGGGGGCTTCTTTTTGTGGCCCTTCTCTCTTTTTTTTTTTGGGGGCTGGGGTACACTCTGGGCTTCAGAGGGCGTGTGCAGGGGCCACTGGGGGACAAGCCAGCCGAGGAGGCTGGGTGCAGGGGTGAAATGCAAAAAAAGGAACATGGTCACGGCTCAGGATCTGGCTGTGTGGCCAAAAGGGCCAAGAGATCAGTGTCGTCGATGCCAGCTGTGTCACGGCCCGGCGCCAATCGATGAAAGTCGGCCTTGCTCGTCTGGCACAGCCATAGGCACGTGATGCCCTGTGCAAAAATCTCAGGCACGTTCAGGATGCGTTGTGGAGAGTGCCCATCATCGCAAAGCATCCACATTGAGGGGCTGGCCAAATCCGAAACCTCTGGATAGGTACGCAGGAGGGCCTGGTAGTGACCGTTGTGTGCACCTCCCAGATGAGCGATGCAGGCAATCACTGTGTATGGCATCCATGTGCATGCATGGGGCCCCAGCACTGGTATCTGTACCTCCCATCCAAACCTGAGGGCTGCTTGGCACTTGACGACTGTGCCATCAGGAGCATGTATCATGCGATCTACATGTAAAAGAAGCAGGTCCTCAGGGTCCGTGAGACCAGCCAACATTCCAAGCTCGGTGTGCCACGTCCTGAGCAATGTGGACAGCTGAATTTCATGGTGATCGACCAGTTGGGGATCAAATTGCAGTGTCAATGGCATGAACTTGTCACCTGCATCATGGAGCACAAGGCCTTGTTCTGTCTGCACACGGCGCTCCCAGCAGTTGGAAATGGCAGGCATTGCAGTCCAGCTGGACAACATATGTGCAAACTCCGCACTGTCAGCCTGCTCCCCATCCTCATTCCAACCCTCTAATAAGTGCTGAAACCATGAAGCATTTTCCAATGAAAAAAGGGTCCCATCTGCAAGTTCAAGGGTCTGTTGGAGGATGGCTGATCGTGCGCCCCAGTCTTGAAAGACGAAAGCAGATCTGGATAAGGTGGCCCAGATTAAACTCACAAAAGCGCTATTGGCATAGCAGTCATTCCCCGGATTGGCCATGGCAAGGTTCAGGGCTCGGTCTCGCAGGCTCTGTCTGGAAGCAGCATCTAAGGACTCTGGGATGTCTTGCCTTTCCCGCGGCCGCGGCTCTTCCCCTGCGGGTTCTGTCCTTTGCCCATGGCTTGTTGGAGCAGCAAGGCCGGTTTCGAGAGCACCTGGGAGTGCTGTTTGGCCGACATGCCCAACAACGACCACACTGTGTTGTGGCAAAGTTCCACCAAAAGTTCCCAGGCTTCGGCTTCCCGATGCGAGATCTGAAGGATCCACGGGATGGCTTCCTGGCTGCTCTGGGTGTTCTTGAGGCTCTGAAATCTCACCACGTGCGCGTTGCTCTGCAATCGCCCCTCCAGGATCTGAAGGCCCCGGATCACCCGGGCCATGGCCACCGGGCTGCGGGAGGCCTTGATCAGCTGCTTCGTCTCCTGTGACCACTTCTGATAGCCCCAGCTCCCATCTGGGTGAATTGTTCCCTTGCTCACCGCCACGTCCCAAAGTTGGTCGCCTGGTTTGGTGGCTGCCAGCTGCTGGACTCGCCTGAGGAGTTCTGTGATCACTCCCTTCATCAGGTAGGTCCGGAGGTTGGGCCATCTCAAGTTGTCCTTCTGCTGGGGCCATTCCTCCCGCCACTTGCTGGCCAACATCGTGAGGTGGGGGACAATGCCTTCCGGTCGATTTTGGCAGAACAAAACGAAGCAGTCCTGTCGCTGGTTGAGCTGGATGCTCCTCTCGTGGTTGAGAAGAAGTTGGCCCATCAGCCGCAGGAGTGTTGTGATCGCCTCCTTGTTGAGCCCGTCGTGGTCTTGCTCTTCTTTGGCCTTGGCCTTGTGCCGCTCGGGATGCTGTTCTTCGACGCTTCCCTCGTGATGCTTCCGTGAGCCCAACAGAAGGGGGCCGAGAGCTGCCAATCCATCCATCAGGGCCTGATCGTTGGGATCCATCAGAGCGTCCATGAATTGGCTGCAGCAATATGGCAATCTGAAGGGCCACCGGGCAGCTTGAGACAAAATGACTCTTTTGCAGCTGTACGCGTTGCAACGGGGGCATGTCACTGTCTGCTGAAGGCAAGTTGTAAATTTGTTGACACAACGTGCACCGATAATCTTGGGGCTGCAGCTGGGACAAGAGGTCATGAAGCTGAAAGGCAATCTGAGTAGCCCACGCGCATGTTTGGGGATGGACCGTGAGGAGGTGGCGCAGTAGCTCTGCAGGTTGATAGTGGCCTCCACATGCCATACATCTGGATTTGAGAGCATGTACGACCGCAGTATCTGTCCAGAGTTGGGCAAAATTCCTGGCAACCAGCGAGGCAATCATCCGTTGTGTCAGTGCTTCATCCCGTAACGGCGCAAGAAGAGGGGCCAATGTGTCCACATGAAACTGTGTCGGTACCAAGAGCTGCACATCGCTGTTGGCCATCATCATCGCAACCTGACGCAGTGGTGTGCAAATGTGTGCAAGGCCCACTTCATGTGCCTGTGGGTTGCAGATGCAGCCGCGAGAGGCCATGACAACCTGCAAAAGATACCTCAGCATAGGTTGCGATGCATTCCACAGTGGTCCATGTGACTGGAGAAGGTGTGCAACTACATCACCTGTGCGCATGTACTTGGCCTCACAGAACTGACAGGTGGTGGTCAACTGAAGCCGTTGGTGAGCAGAAAGGCCAGTGGGAGAAAAATCCCCTTGGTGAAGCCAGGCACTCCATTTGGCTGTATTGTCCGTTGGGTTGTGAGAAGCCAGCGGGTCAAATGCTTCGCATCTGCCTTCAGTGATGTGGCGCCTCAAACCAGAGCGGCTGTCGAACTGCATGGAGCAGTGACGGCATTGATCACTGCCCTGGACAGAGTCCCTTGATGGGACCCAATCGCTCAAGGTTTGGTTGTGGTCCCTGGCCATGTGCTGATACAATTGCCCCTGATCATCAAACTGTTGAACACAAATTTCACATGTCAGTTCCTGCTGAGCACGGATATCTGGCTCCTGCATCTGAAGACGGAGAATGCCAATTTGTAAAGTCACTGGACAGCTGTGGACCCGGCTGTACTGCTTGTTGCACAGGGCACAGGGTGAGACCAGCTGCATCACGTGTGTGAGTTGGGCACCCTTGACTACCCCACCTTTCAGCTGCTCATCATGGTAAAGGCGGTAATGGCTATGCAATTCCTGAAACCGATTGCACCATGTTCCACAGATGGCGCAGTGGTGTACTAGGTGTTCCAAACCCACTGATAGCTGACAAAGGCCGGGCCAGTCATCATGGTGCAGGCAGCGTTCTAACTCAGGCCAGAACGGTTGTGTCGTCACCTGGAAGTGTCGATGGACAGTGTCCCTGGCTGACATGGGTGTGAGCCGCACATCCGTGGGCTCTGGCGACAGCATGGGGGGCACCTGACAGCAAGCCCGTTGAACATGAACAAGGAAGGCTTTCCATGATGAAAAGGTAATGTGACAGTTATTACATTGGGGTTTACCGTTCAAGGTCATGGCCAAAGGTGATGTTGATACAGTTCGGAATTGTGGCTGGTTGTGGTGATTGGTCAAATGTCGTCGCAGATTGGGAATAGAGTCTGTGACAAATTGGCAATGTGGGCAATGTTGGCGTGCCTGCACTCTGATCGGATCGTCAGGGCAGGGACTTATGGGCACCTCCGGTGTATGCGCTTGCATACTGTGAATGAGATGCAACAGGTCTTGAAGCTGAGTCCAATCCAATTGACACAAGAAATCCTGGGGGCTTAAAATGGTTGCACGCCTCTGGATGCGTTGCAGCAAGCCCATGGCAAGGGCTCGAAGCATATCGAGTGGCTGATCAATCCGATGCTGTTGGAATGCTGCCTGATGTGTGGTGTGCGTGATGTACGAGTGATCTTGAAGCACAACTCGGACCATTCTATATACAGTCCCCTGAAAGTCAAGAAGAACGGGAATTGTCACATTGGTGGCCAAGAGCCCATAAGTGAGCACCGTGAACACGCACGTTTTCCACAAATACATGCGATGGGCACGTGTCAATTGCCTACTCCTGAGCCATGCACGCAACCGGGCAAATGCCAACCAGCTGGCTTGTTTGCGATGTCGCCAAGTCAACATCTCAAAGGCATGATAGCTGATGCAAACACCTAGATAGGATCCCTTACTGCGCAGCGGCAAGCAGGTGTGTTCTCTTCCCAGGCGTGGCACTCGGATGCTGGCCCCTGTGGGCGATCGTTGCAAGACATCTTTGAGAGCTGCCCGTGCATTTGTGCCAGCATAGGCAATCAACATAAATGACTTGGAGTAGGACAAGGACAGCTTCAGGTTTTCTATCACGTCCAGAGTATGGCCTATATTCACCAAGTGGGTTTGGAGTGCTTGTTTGGATCGAAATTGGCAGCCTACATGAACATCGTCTGCGTAGATCGTCAAACAGTCGTGAACCCATTGATAACCACAGCGATTGGCCACTTGACGCAAAAAAAGGTCCATGAAACTCACCCACAATAGGGGGGCCAGTTTACACCCTTGTCGTAGGCCCTTTCCTACAGGGATTGAAGTGGTGGCACCCCTAAAGGAAAGATTGTAATGAGTGTGTTCATGCCAGCTGGCTGCCAACTGCACCAAATTGGGCGGTGTTCCAAGTTGGATGAGATGGTCGAAAATCGCACGCCTATCTGCACTGTCGAAGGCCCGATTCAAGTCCAAAAACAGTGAAAGGCCGCCACAAATGGTGAGCTTGGCGGTATTGGCAATTTGATTCTTGGTAGTGCGCCGATGGGCGGCCACCATCTCCCGGATGCATCTGCTATGCTGTGAAACCCGCAGGATCGCGTCAGTTGCAGCACGGTATGGTAAGAACCCAAATTGCGGTAGTTGGTTCAACAAGGGAAAGATACAAGCTTTGATTTTTGTGGTGATCAACCCCATGACAATTTTCCCCAACGGCTCCATGAGTGATATGGGTCTTAGTTGGTCGGGGTGTGTATTGGGTTTTCCTGGTTTTGGGAGGAAAAATAACCAAGAGTCCTTCCAATTTTTGGGGATGATGGGGGGGGATTGTGACCACCATTCTTGGAGCTGACAATAAACAAAGCTAGCAACTTCCCGGGGAGCACTGCGCCATACAACCCCTGGCAGGAAAGGCTGTGCAACTGACTTGTTGGTGTGGACCTTTGCCACTGCCTCGACCAATTCCTCAAGCTCAAAAGGAATCCCCGGCGGGGCAGCATGGTAAGTTGGCAGTCGGCTGGGGCCTTGCCACATCTGCTTCACAAATGCCACTGTGAGGGAATGGGCCATGTACTGATCAGCTATTGTGCCATCTGGACCCCTGAGTCTTGCCCGTGCCAATGGACGTTTGGGTGCAAATCGGTTGATGATATTAAACATTGAGTGTGTGTCATGGATGTGTGCAGCAGTGGAGACCTCTTGGCACAGATCCTGGAAGTGTTCTTTTCTGGCCTGGCGGATAGCTTTCTGCTGTGCACGTTGAAGTACTTGATATCGGCTGCGGGAATGCCAGGCCTGCATAATTTTGGACAGGGTTTTTTGTCCTGTCTGTGCAAGGTGCCGCAACTGCTTTTTGAAGTACCATTTATCAACTATAGCTCCATGAACAGCGGTGAGGTTTGCCTGGGACACATTCTGAGTCTTGGTGGAAAAAAATTGGTGAAACGCAACTGAGACCTGGCCATGAATCTTTTGAATGAGGGCTTCAGGTGATAGGGCCTGATGATCCGCATGAACGGCTTCGACAACTTGTTGGCGTAGGCAGTGCCATGCTTGAGTCTCCTGAAGACCAGCCGTCCTACATTTTGATCTTTGCATGAAGGTGCAAGATGTTGGCCGTTCGTACGTCTGATATGCCATGTGTTTGGCTCGAATGTTACAAAGTATGGGTATGTGATGCGTACAGTTGGCAAGTACAAAATCAGCATCATGCAGGAACTGGACTTGCTTGGATAAGCCATCACAGGCCAACATTTTAATCAAAAAATGATCTATCCTGGATGTGGTATCTCCATGGACATAAGTGGCTCCTGATGCTCCCCAAGTGTTGATGGCCGTGAGGCCATGCAGTTGCAAGATTTCGCGGAGTCGTGCCTGGTCAGGGTGGGTGGATCCTGTGGTCATCCGCCCATGCCATTTGTAAGAGGTCGTACCAATCCACGGTGGATGCGAATCCAGTGAGCAATTAAAGTCCCCTGCGCAGATCATGTTGTTGCGGGAAGGCTGTTTGTGTAATGCCGTGTTGAGGGCATCCCAAACCTGTTCCCTCTTCTGAGCTGAGATCATTGTCCTGTTGTCCACGTACTGGTAAATCGCCAGGATGTCCAGCGCCTGGGAGTCAAAGTGTACCCTGACATGGACTAAACGTCCATCCACAATGGCCTGATGGCCAAGCTGTTCCGGGCATGCCAAACGTCTGGAGATCATGATCAATATACCCCCACTTTTGTAATCATCAGAAGCTGAATGCACATACATCCATGCTTTGTCAGTCCAAGTGGATGAAAAGCTCCAACGCGTCTCCGTTAAGACAACGATGTCCACCGGATGTCGTTGCAGCCATAGTCGTATTTCAGCAAGCGTGGACTGAGCCAGTCCTCCAGGATTCCAATGTAGGCAGGTCAGGCGGCCCTTACGCGGGGCCGCAGTGCTGTGAGTCCGTGGGCATCGTGTCAATGGGGATTCCGCTTGAAGCTTCTGAACCAAGGCTGGTGGGAAGTCCTCGACGCGCATGCAGCTGCCATGATAATGCGAAGACCCATTCAAAATCGCTCTGCGGCAGGCCCTTTTGAAGCTCCGCTTTTGCACTGCTGTGAATGGTGCAGCGGGACGATTCGAGCGGCTGCTCATTGGCGGCTGTTTTCCATTTTTTGCAGAGCCTTGACAAAACGCTGTTATCCAGTTGTCTGCTCCCACTGTGGATATGGAACCACAGTAACCCTCACCCTGATGGCCGATGGGTTGGAAACCTGGGCACTCATATAGTCGTTTCTGAGTTGTTGCAGATGTAGAGTGCATAGATCGACTCGAGGCCATCCCCGGAATTGGGACCGGGGAGCGATCACAAGCAAAAGAAATCTGTCCAATGACCCAGAAAAATTGAAACCAGAAAAACTGAATCCACATGCTGTGTCCCGGTGTTGTACCAATGATGATAGAGATCACTGTCACAAGGGCAAAAAACTTTGGCCAGCAGGTGAAGTGTCTCAACCGACACGGCAAAATCAAATTGTACGTCTGTAACTTACCAAAATTGAAATCTTATTCCGGGCCAGAAAATTGTTGTAGGAGCCCACCCTGTTGTATGGCCAGGAAAGAAATGGGAGCCACCCCTCACCGGACCAGAAACAAAACGCAGGGAGTCCACCCCTTAAAGTTCCAGCTATGGCGTCGCCGCGGCAAAAACGTCCGGCTACGTCGGAACCCGTCCTAGCAGCTCCTCGCTGCTTGCACGCAGTGCTTGTGACCGCACAGGGCTTGTGTGTGTGTGTTTTTGTGTGTGTGATGTGTGTGTGGTGTGTGTGTGTGTGATGTGTGTGTGTGTTGTGTGTGTGTGTGTGGATGTGTGTGTGATGTGTGTGTGTGTGTGGTGTGTGTGTGTGATTTTTTTTCCTACACGCCTTTTCTGCTATGCTCCAAAGGTCTGTGCCAGCCATCAACGATATTGTGTCGTTGGTTCCGTCTGTGCGGAAACTTTCGGCCTGGAAACTGCAAAAGGAAAAATGAAAACTTTGTCATGTGGTCGGAAAAGTCTGATCCTTGGTCGCCTTTCATGGTTGACTTAGCCCGGCAAACTAGCTCCATGTTGAGCTTGCAGCAAATGTTTGCACTCCCGTAGGGATGAAAACCTTATTTCCAATTTTTGAAAACTCTTGTTTTGTAACAAGAGTTAGCTGTGAGTACATCTCAATATTTGGTGCTTGTCAACCTTTGTTTTACCAAACAAACAAGCGGTTGTTTTTCTTTGCTCTGTTTTTCAACTCAACAAACTTCAACACAGAGTTTAGTTGATTTTATGTTATGTTTGTAACACTATGGCTTAAGGGTGTGGTGGGAGGGTTTTCCTCCTTGTTTTTCCTGGTGTGGTTGCAAAAATGCAGGGGGGAAATGACTGATGGAAACAGTGATGGTGTTTCGCTACCTTCTTTTGAAGACGGTGCTGGCCTTTTTGGTGGTGGACAGTCGAATGGTGGTGATTTGTCCGCGGTGCCTCTGAACAACAATACAGGTGAACAGGTTTCTGAGGTACACAGCAGTGGAAATACCGATCCATCGAGCCATGTGAATTTTGGGCACGCTATTGGTGCTGCCTGGGATGCGTTGCCAACTACGGTGATTGAACCTGTCTGGAACTCTGGTTTTTGGAAATGCATTTTTGGGAATGACATGTTGGGTTCGAATTTGGAACAACAATTCAAACGTCCAATGCCTAGCAGTTTCATTACAGATGATGTTTCAGAGGTTGTCGAGGTTCACAAGAAGCAGTGTTTACCTAGCTTTGCAGTTGGAGTTCAGCCTCATTTCAAAAGTTGTGTCAAGAGCACTGACGATGTGACATGGAAAGAGCACAGGGAGGCACAGTTGCAGAAGGCGTTGAAACACTGGCTTGTCATCATACTGACTTGGTCGGCAGATGTTGAATTTGTGCAGTGCATTACAGGTTGCGATTCAGTTAATTCTCAGTTGATCATGCTTGGCGATGTCTTCAGAGGTAAAGCACCTGGAACGTTGTCAAAGAGATCAAACAGCATGAAGATTCTATGTGAACAGTTGGAACGTATTGGGCTTTCCTTTCCATGTTCGGAAGCTTCACTGTATGGAGTTTTGTGTGAATTGCGCCGGCTAGGTGCACCTGCATCGCGCTCCAAAGGGATATTGGAGGCCATCGCATTTGTCAGGTTTACCATGGGCATTGTGGAGTGTGATGCGCTTCTACGTGGCAAGAGGTGTTGGGGGGCTGCAACCTCAGATGCTCCACTTCATCGCAATCAAGCTAGTCCTCTTCAAGTAAAGGAATTGGAAAAACTACACAACATCTTAGAGAATAGCACAGATGTCTGGGACAAGATGTTCAGTGGCACAGTGCTGTTTGTGGTTTATTCCAGGGCACGGTGGAGTGACGCTCAACATGGAGCCAGTGTCATTTTTGATGAGGACTACGGTGAAATCCATTACGTTGAGGTTTTGACAGGTTTGCACAAGACCATGAGGGCATTGCAGCACAGGCATCAATTCTTGCCATTAGTTGCACCTGCACTTGGAGTGACAAAACAAAACTGGGGAGCGCTATGGAAGCAGGTTCGAACGGAGTTGGGCATTGACTTTGCACAAGGTCATGCTCTCATGCCTGCTCCCCTTGAAGATGGAACTCCGGGTATGAGGGCCCTTGATTCTCAGGAGGCGGGCAAATGGCTCAGATCTCTGCTTTTGCTGGATGAGGGCAATCTTGAAAACCGCAAAGTTTCGAGTCATTCTTTGAAGAGCACAATGTTGTCATACCTTGCAAAGAGAGGAGTTGACATGGCTGACAGGTTGCTGCTTGGGTATCATACATCTCCATTTACCATGGGTCTCACTTATAGGAGGGATGGCATGGCACGACCATTGGAGATTCTTGGAAACATGTTGGAAGAAATACGGAATGGAGTGTATTTTCCAGACTGCACTAGGAGTGGCAGACTTTGCAAACCCATTGACAAAACTGGTGGAACCAAAAAGAGTTCAGTGCTATTGGACGAGTGCGTCAAGATTGAGATCAGTGACGATGAGGACATCACTGGCGCATGGACCTTAGTTGAAGAATCAACTCAAAACCTTGATTTGCCGTCAGTGATTCCTGAAACTTGTGAAGATGCAGTCAATGACGCTTGTACTGAATCTTCTAGCAGTGATGTCAGCGAGTTGGAGGATGACAGATCAGGCTCTGAACGTTCAGGGCGTAGCAAGTTTGAGCCTCCAGTTGCACCTGAGGGATTCACCATGTGGCAGCATACAAAGTCAAAGATCTTGCACCTCTGTGATTACAGGACTCCGAACATCTTTGCGTGTGGCAGGAAAGCAGGTCCCTTTCACACTTCCGAAGGTCTGCAACCTAGATGGGACAGTGGCATATGTTGGAAATGTTTCAAGAACAGGTGATCATGGAACGCACATGTCATAGACCATGTCCAGCGTTTTCACCTCAGTTTCAAGTTTCAGCGAGTGCATTGCACACTTCAGCTTGTGACCAGTGGACGGAAGTCGCGGCCTTAATTCCTTCAACAATTGGTTGCCACTTGTTTCAATAACCACTTAAGCACTGAAAAAACAGGGTCAGGTTGGAGTGTCAGTCTCACTAGCCAAAAAGGGCTGAGAGCGCAACAGGACCTGAACAACAGGCAGTGCAAAAACTCAAACAGTGGAAAGTGCGTTTCGTTTGAAGTCGTATGTTGCGATGCAATCATCAGGGAAAGGCATTTTCACTTGAAGCAGTGGTTTCTTGTTTCAATCACCATTTTGCGTTGACTCGTTTGTGCAGGGTTCGTTTAGAATAGCGCTCTTGGAGATGGGCTCTAGAGCTTTGACTTAGTCAAAGGCTGAGAGATCTCAAGAGTGAGGAAGTTTTGGCAAGCGAACCTGACATTTCAACTTGCGCGCAATTTTTAACAATGGTGAAATGAAACAAAAATTTTTGGATCGCATTTTGTTCCATTTCTCATATTTGATTTCTGGAATTCAAAGAGTGGGCCATTAGAGTAGTCATGGCGTTGGTTGACAGTGAAGCTGCATTTGAGCAGCGTTTGAGAGAAGTCATACCAATAGCTGCTGTGCGTGGGTCAGTAGTCAACGCTGGCATACGCACCTTCAGTGGGCTCGCATTTGCTTCAGGGACTCCACAAAACCGGCTTTTGCTGATGGCATTTTGCCAGCTGGATATGACATGGCCACCTACAGTGCTTTCAGAAGGCTTCATTTTGAGGCATCGACTTTGGTAGTGGCGCAGTTGAAATCTAGGGTCACAGGAGATCCTGATGAGGGCAAGCAGAAGCTTCCTATTGTTGAAAAACAAGCGAGGCTGGAGAACCAGAAAAGACGCCTGATAGGAGTCGAGATTGAGGGTGAGCTGCAACCATCTTTCCAACTGGTGGACGCTGTCAACAACATGATCGAGACCAACACAGTTCAGTGGATTGCACCTAGCAAATCAACTTCAAGAGACCAGGAAGTTTTGCAAGGTGCAAAAAACCTACCATCAGTAGTGCAGCTTGAACAACATACGCTCAAGCTAGCTGCACCTGATGCCAACTTGGAGGCGGACTGTGGGTCTGCTTTGCACCTCCAATGGTGTTTGCAGAGGAGGGCATTAGCCCTTGATCAAGTTAGGTTGAGCAGTTGGGAGTGCCAGAGCAAGTGGATCTCTCAGCTGCTCACCACTATGAGTGCGCAACCTCCTCCAGGGCATGGCAAAATAACCCTGGAGCAACTGGTCAAAGCTGACAAACAGCTGTGGACAGAGATGGCAAAGGCCCACACAGGGGCTGTTGTAGCTGCGGTTGGACAAAACGAACCTCCACTGGATGAGCACGTTCTACGTCTTCGAAATGACCCAAGGGTTACAATGTACTTGCTCCCATTGCCAGTGATGGGCAAGAGTGCAACAAGTGCTCCGAGCAGCGGGCCGACCAAGGTGCAACCCCAAGGGGGCAAAGCTCAGCCCAAGAAGAAATTCAAAGCTACAAAGAAATCAGAGAAAAGCAAACCTGAGGCGCTTGCGGGCATGGACACGGTGACAAAAGATGGAAGCAATGTGTGCTGGTCCTACAACTTGGAGTCTGGATGTCAAGCAACTTTGATCAGTGGCGCTAAACCGCCTAAGTGTGCCAAGGGTTTGCATGTTTGTGCATTTTGCCACAAACCGAATCACTCGCAGTTGGTGTGCAACCTCAAGAAGCGCCAGGGGGCCAGCTGACTAGGCAATGACAACACAGGTCGGGACAGCTGCAGTGATACGGTTCATCAAAAGTTTCACAGTTTCATTGATGAGGCTGATGCTTTGGACAAAAGTGCAAAGCGTAGCAATTCTTCGTTTCAAAGCTTGACTCAACTGCCTTCAAAGGATGAGGTCAAGCCGGCTTCCAAACACAAGGTCGTGAGTGAGGAACTCAATGACAAGGTGGATGGAGAGCCCCTTGGTGAGGAGCCAAGAAGGTCGATTGAAAAGGACCTGAAATTTCAAGGTCAAGCAGTCAAGGACCTTTACTTTTTGGAGTTGTTCGCTGGGACAGCTCGTCTTACCAAGTGCTTTGGCCGGTCAGGGTTCAAAGCAATGGCATTTGACAAAACCTCTAAGAGGTCTGAAGGTCAAAGTGTCTTGGAATATGACTTGTCCAATAAGGACGAAGTCGCTTCTCTTTTACGTTTCATTGAGCTGAATGCTGATCGGATCGCGCTCATTCACCTTGCGCCACCTTGCGGCACTGCGAGCAGGGCGAGGGGAAAGAGGCTGCATTTTTTGAAAGCTCTCAACATCAAAGAGCCACGTCCGTTGAGAGACGACACATTTCCAGATGGTTTCCCATGGTTGCAGGGCAGCGACAAGATTAGAACGGAAATTGCAAATTTACTGTATGAACATACCGTTCTGATTGCTCAAACTGCGATTCGGTTGCAGATTGCTGTCACTATTGAAAACCCAGCCAACAGTCTCATGTGGAAAACCAGTCCTTTTGTGCAATTGTTTGAACAATTTCCTGAACTCAAACATGTTCTTTTCACAACTGTGCACACGGAGGTGTACGAGACAAGCTCACCAGTTTTGCAACCAACGTTTCATGGTTTGATTCTTTGGCCTTGCTTTGTGACAAGCAACATACACATGCTCCATGGACACCGACGGTCGTTGCCGGCAAAGTTCATTACCCTACACATACTGAAGCTGCATATCCAGAAATTTTGTGCCAGCGTATTGTGTCAATTGTTTTGGACAAGGTGTTGGAACTTGGTGCCATCGAAACTGAAACGTTGGAAAAACATGTCAAAGCAGATGGCAAAAGTTTGAACCGAGTCGTGCTCGGTGCAATGCCTCGTGGGCGTCATGTCAAACCGCTGGTTTCAGAATTTGGTGAATATATCAATGTGATTTTGCCTTGTCAATGCGATTTGCAATTACAAAAATTCCTTGCCAGACTGCCTAAGGGATCAATCGTCCAGTCGCGGCATCTTACAACATGGGGGCAAGTGCGGGACGCTTTGGACAAACAAGTCAAAAAACGCTGTTTGCAACAGAAACTGCGAGCCCTGCAACAGCAGAATGAGAGAATGGATGATGACAATTCATTTGACATGGATGGTTTTTTGACACAATTGGGATGTGAGCCCAATTCCAATTACAAACTGTTTGTGGATGCCAACGAAATTGATTGTGAAAGAGTGGTTGTGGCAGTTCCCAGAGAGCCTCTCGACTTTGTGGCAAGAGCTGTTCAAGCAGGGCACCCTCGAAGTGTAGCAATCAACTTGCCGAATGATCTTTGCAAAACTGTTGACTGGAATCGAGAGGCGCCTGCATTTGATATATACAAACACAGGATCGAGTTTGTCAAGTTTTGGACTGAAAAGGCCAAAGAGCTGAAAGGAGATGATGCCAAAATGCTGGAAAAGGCACCACCTCACTTGAGGAAGTTGCTTTGTGGCAAACGCTTGGCGGTTTGGCAAGCCATGGCGGACCATTTCAACTACCCGGACAAGAACTTGGTGAGGGACATATTAAATGGCTTCAAAGTTACAGGTTGGCTTCCAGATTCGGAAGTATTTCCGAGAGAGTTCAGACCGCCGTCCATGGATGTCAGCACATTGGAGTCTTTGAGCAAAGGCTTGAACCAACATGTCAAAGCCAAGGTCATAGCTGCGGCTGGAGGAGAGCTTAGTGAAGCTACCTGGAGTGAGACTCAAAAGGAGTTGGACGAAGGTTGGATGGAGATTGACCAGGGCACGGGCGACAATGCAGCTTGGGCCATGAGATTCGGTCTGCAGCAGAAGGACAAAGTGAGAGTCATTGATGACTTTTCAGTGGCAGGCGTAAACCAAACGACAGGTTTACATGAACGTTTGAAAATTTTTGGAATCGATGACATAGCTGCTACGTTGGCATATTCAATGGATTCCTGCTGCCAAGAAAAGCACCCACGAATGCTTGGCAAAACCATTGATTTGAAAAGTGCATACAAGCAATTTGGAATTTGCAGCGATGACAGAGCGCGCATCAGAGTGGCTACCTCCAGTGCAGACACCAACGACTTCATACTGCTGATGGTCAACGCTCTTCCCTTTGGAGCCACAGGAAGTGTGGCAGCCTTTTTGAGAATTTCCATGTTCATTTGGTACATTGGTGTTGTTGGTCTGAGATTGGCTTGGACGTCATTTTACGACGATTACACATTATTGAGCAGAGCCGATTGTGCTCAAAATGCTTCGTGGGGAGCGGAATGCCTTTTTGATATCCTGGGAGTCGTTTTTGCGCGTGATGGGAAAAAGGCCACAGTTTTTGACCAGGTCTTCAGTTCGCTGGGAGTCAATTTCGACTTGAGAGAGATGTGCAATTTTTCTGTTCTCTTAGGCCACACAGAAAGCAGAAGGTTGGAACTGATTGACACCATTTCTGAAATTTTTCGTTGCGGAACCTTCACGGCCAAAGGTGTGGAAAGGTTAAGAGGACGTTTGTTGTGGTTTGAAAATTTTGTTTGTGGCAGACAAGCCAATTTTCTTGTAGCTCGGCTTGGAAAATACATAAAGAGCTGGCAAGGGTGACCTTCCTTTGAATGCTGAACTGAGAGTAACCTTGCAAAAGCTCATGATGAGGTTGGAAGCTGGCCGACCTGTTGAAATCACACAGAGACTTTTTTCAACGTGGCTTTGTTTTACGGACGGTGCCTGTGAACAGGAATGTTCTGTAGGTGGGGTGCTTGTGAGCCCACAAGGCACGGCTGTGATGGCGTTTGGATCCGTACTTCCTTCCGATTTTTCTCAACAGTTTTACCGTGAATCAAAGCACCCAATTTACGAAGTGGAGCTCCTACCCCTTCTCATCGCTCTTGCGTTATGGGGTGACATATTTGAAAAATGTCAAGTTGTCTTTTATGTGGACAATGACTCTGCGAGAGCTGGGTTGATCAAAGGGGCTGGAGCGACTAGCATGGCAGACGCCATCATAGAGTGCTTCTGTGCCCGTGAGTCAACCTTGCAACTGAAAACGTGGTTCAACAGAGTTCCTTCTCACAGCAACATCAGCGACGGGCCAAGCAGATCAGACTTCAGCTTGGTCAAAAGATTGGGGTGCACCATTAACAACGTTCAATGGATTGAGATCCAATCAGAGGTCCTGTCACGCCTCAATGAAGTGGGGCTAGGGCGGGGCGTGGATGGATCGTCCCCAATGCTTTTGTGAGAAAAAAGGTGTGCTCTGTTTTTCCTCGTTCGACCTGTCGTTCAGTTGCATGTGATTTCAAAAAACACAGTTTTGTTTGAAATCAATTTTTAAAAGTGTTTTTGAGCAATACAACGCGCGCGTTTTCAAGATACCAGTATTGAAGAGATGTACGTTAAGCGGTTCAATCTTTGGAAATAAGTTTGCACTCCCGTAGGGATGAAAACCTTATTTCCAATTTTTGAAAACTCTTGTTTTGTAACAAGAGTTAGCTGTGAGTACATCTCAATATTTGGTGCTTGTCAACCTTTGTTTTACCAAACAAACAAGCGGTTGTTTTTCTTTGCTCTGTTTTTCAACTCAACAAACTTCAACACAGAGTTTAGTTGATTTTATGTTATGTTTGTAACACTATGGCTTAAGGGTGTGGTGGGAGGGTTTTCCTCCTTGTTTTTCCTGGTGTGGTTGCAAAAATCCCACCCTTTTCTTTTCCCACCCTTTTGCCAACCATTTATACTCGTACTTTACGAGGCCACCCCCTAAGCCCTAGGGCGGGGCGTGGATGGATCGTCCCCAATGCTTTTGTGAGAAAAAAGGTGTGCTCTGTTTTTCCTCGTTCGACCTGTCGTTCAGTTGCATGTGATTTCAAAAAACACAGTTTTGTTTGAAATCAATTTTTAAAAATGTTTTTGAGCAATACAACGCGCGCGTTTTCAAGATACCAGTATTGAAGAGATGTACGTTAAGCGGTTCAATCTTTGGAAATAAGAATGAATGCCTGATCGGAATGGTCATCAGGGGCTGCTTCAGTGGTGGTGCCATCGCTTCTCACGCTGTACGACAGCAACTGCAAGCAGTCCGTGCGGATCATCCATACGACAGTCAAATTGCTTGCAAACCAGGAAGGAAATTGCCAGAGAGGAGTTGGATATTGGTCGTCTTCGGTCATGAGCCAAGCAGCTGGGTTGCCAGGTGGCACCACTGTGGGTTGAATCTTGAGCAGTGCCTTGCAGTGTCCAGCTTGATCCTGTCCAAAATGTGCAATGCATGCCACAGGAATGTATCCTGCAGTGTTACAAGCAATGCCTGAGGGTCGGAAAACCGGCATCATGATTTCTGTGTCAATGTCCAAGCGGCACATGCTTTTAACAGCCTGATTGTCAGCATCTTGGTACACTCTGTCAATGTGGAGGCAGAGACACACCGGCGCATCCATGAGTGCTGTCTGCATCGCAAGCTCCTGAGACCAAGCAGACACCAATGATGCAAGTTGGCAATGACCAGTGTGATGTGCATGGCTAGGGATGTACAAAATGATGGGCATGAAATTGCTGTTGCTATCATGTAACTGCAGCCCTTCAGATGTCGCAACCCTTCTTTCCCAACGCATGTCAAATGCTGCCGGGCGCAGCCAACGCAAGACACGATGTGCACATTCTGCACAGTCTTGCTGTTCCCCATCAGCAATCCAGTCTTGCACCACTTGCAAAAACCAAGCCGTCTCACTCAGCGTCGCCGGTTTGTAGGCGTGCTTCTGCACAAATTGGATCAGTTCTGCATGGTGCTCCCCCCAAAGGTCTGTCAAAGGAACTTGCAGACTCAAAAGCGTCCACAGCAAACTGTGTACCGTGCTATTGGCAAAGCACCAGTTGCGGTTGTTGGTCAAACGCAAATGCCCTGCCAGCTGCGTGAGCTCCTTCACAAGCTGTGGTGCTAGGCTGCATTCTTGCCCATGTTCATCTTCTGTTTCGATTTGCCTTGCCTTTGCTCTGTCCTTTGCCCTTGTTCTGGCCCGTCAGGTTCTGAAGCATCGTGGCCATGGGGGACTGGGCAAGGGTGTGTTGCTTCATCGTTGCTCCCACCACCATCCATATGGCGTTGTGCGCAAGGTGCGCCAGCAACTCGTAGGCCCGATCGCTCCTGAGGTTGATCTGCAATCTCCACGGCACTGTGCGCTCCTTCTGTGCATCCGGTGCTTTCAGGGCGTGGAATCGGATGATCAAGTCCTTGTCCACCATCATTTCCAGCAGCTCGTTCAGGTGCTGCTCCATCTTCTTGGCACTCACCGGCTGCTTCTTGTCCAACACCAGCGTCTGAGTCTGTGGATCCCATCTGTGAAATGGGAAGCTCTTGTCCTTCAGGATCAGCCCCTTGGCCAAAGACGTCTGGTAAAGCTCGTCTGTCTCCTTGCTTTCCACGATCTTGCCCGCCCGTGTGCGCATGACTTCCAGCAGCGCCAGCAGCAGATGCTGCCTCAGAGGCCTCATCTGGGATTTGGATGCAGTTTCCATCTGCTGTTTCCACTGCACCGATTCCTGGAGGAGGATGTGAAGAGCTCCTGTTGGATCTGGATTCAAAAAAAGTATGAATTGATCCATTTTTCTCAGGCTGTGCAACTCTTGATCGTGACGTATGAGTAGCTGCGCCATGGTGGTCAGCATTCTCATCGCCGGTGTGGGTGTTGCGGCCACTGGTGGGTCGGCCATCTCCAAGTCGAGATCGTTTGGAGCGCCTTTGCGGCGCACTTTGGGCTCCTGGGATTCTCTGCTAGCTTGAGCGTTTTGTCCTGGAACATCGGTGCCAGGGCGTCGAAGACTTCTCTCATCTGTGCCGATGCTGCCATGTCTGACAGTTCCATGCTGCAAAATCCCTCCGTTGAGAAGAGCCCCAAAGAGCTGAGCGATCTGTATCAAAACAGGGCACGAGCCCCGCAGATGTGAAAGGGCAAGCTGTGCTCGAGCAGCCAAAGGTTCATCAGGACGCAAGGCTGCTGGCAAATTGTAAATGAGTTGGCACAAATTGCACTGGAAATCATCTACATTCTGTTGAAAAACTGTGGGCAGCAGCTGTTCCATGTAGAAAAGAAACATTTCATGTCCACAAGAATGCTCCTCCCGGAGATGCAGCGCCAGGTCTGATGTCGCCGGCTGTGCACCACACAGCAGGCAATGCGAGCGCAGCAATGCCAGGATCTCAGGGTCCTGCCAGACCGAGGCAAAAGCTCGGTGCACAAGAGCTTGCTCAAGCCTGTATTGGGGGGCCCGCGGTAGGGTCTCAGCAAAAATGTCCTTCAGCAGACTGTCTGTGATGACCGTCGGTGCAAAGGGTTCAGTGCCCATGCGGTGAAATGCCATTGCCAGCTGCCTGAACGGGACGCAAATGTGATGACCCCTCTTGGTTCCTGTGGTAGGATTGCAAAAACATTGATATTGATAGTAGGCATCAACCAGAATCAACGTCAAGCGCTGTGATTGCCTCCACAATCTGGAGTGAGCAGATTGAAGGTGCAGCGAGAGATCTGCCGCACGTTGACATCCCTTGCCACAAGCCTGGCAAACCACCGTCAACCTCATGCGCACTGCTGGAACCCGCAACACTTCAAAGAATTTACCATCCAAACAGGCCTGTCTCCAAAGGGCATCCACCGCAAGCGTTTCTGCAGACGCCTGGGGATTAAAGTACTCACATCTGCCTTGCACTATGTGAGATTTAAGCCCACCAACCGTGAGGAACAACTGGCCGCAATGTGAGCATGCTGAGGATCCATCGATGGAGTCCCTGCTGGCATTAAAGGAAAGCCCTTGTAGCCCATGTTCAGCCTGCAAGTGTTGGACCAGTTCTGCCGCTGACTGAAAGCACTGGAGACACAATTCACACCTCCTACGTACTTCATGAATGGGCTCCGCCTGTGATGCCTCCACTCCAGCGCCATTCACCAACAAGACTGCAATCTGAGACCAGGTGGGGCATGAATGCGTCTTAAAGAGCGCTCCACAACATTGACAAGGGCTCTCATCTGAAAAGATGTTGGTGAGCTGCACTGCTTTCTGAGGCGCATACTCCCATAACTCTGGATGTTGCAAACGAAAATGTTGATGAAGTTCTTGGCATCTCGAAAAGTGAAATGAGCAAATAATGCATCGTGAAGACAAATATTGGCAAATCTCACTATCTGCAGCCACCTTCGTCCACTCGCGGTCGTGTACCACTTGAAGCAGTCTCTCACCAAACACCTGCGTTTTGAGATTGTGCAACTCTTCCGCAGTGATCATTCTCAATCCTCTGGTGGCTGAGTCGGCCATGTTGGGTTGCATGATGTTCAGGGTGCCTAGTGTAGCTCCAATAGATGAAGAACTCGCTGTGCAGGACGTAGGTCCCGTGAGCAGCACCTGACAACCGCGTTCAATATGAGCTGAGAACATGCGCCATGTCGAGAATGTGGTGTGGCAGTGCTTACATGTTGGAAGTCCGTTGGCTGTGAAATGTGCCTGCTGAACAAACTGCGTGCGATACATCTGGAATCCATGGGCAACCGTGCAGTGTCTGCGAAAAACGCTGACATTCTCTGTGCAAAAATCACACTGGGCACATTGGAAAAATGGTGTGTTGTAGACATGCTGCACCTCAAGGTCCCTGGGCGTCACCAAGGATGCAGTGGCCTGCATTTGTTCCAATCGAGACAACAGATCAGGTAGATGATTCCATGTGATCGTGTGAGCCAGGTCATGATCTGAAAACAATGCACTTCGTGTTGCCTGTGTCCTCAGAAGTCCAGCCGCAGTGCCATACAGCAGGTGCAGCGGGGTGGGAAATCTGTGAAGAGCTAGAGCCTGTTGGTTGTTCCTTCTGGTGTAAAAGGCGTGATCATGAAGCAGTTTTCGAAGCATGATAGTGATCTGTGTTTGTGCTTTCTGAATGCCAACAGTTGTCAGGCCTGTAGCAAAAATTCCATATGTCAAAATGGGATAAACGCAACAGTGCCAAAGTTTGTATCTCTGCTTGATTGTCAGGCAATGTCTTCCTGTGAGCCACCGCTGCAACCGTCGAAATCCAGTGTTCATCAAGCTCAGTCGATGTTTGAGGCTGGCATCTTCAAAATTGCTGTAGCTGATCAGCACCCCAAGATATTTGGCAGATTTGCATATTGGTATTTGCATCTCATCACCATCAGGCATAACAACTCGCAGTTTTTCTCCATCACGGTCTCGCTGCACCAGTTGTTTGCGCAGAGCATGACTGTGGCTGCCCTTCAATTCCAACAGAGCCACTGATTTGCCAGGATTGATTTGCAGCTCCAAAGATCGCAAGGTCCAAAAAATGATACCCAAAGTCTTGTGAAAGCAAGCAAAATCATGTGCCGTGGTAAACTTGGCTCCAATATGGAAATCGTCAGCATAAATTGTCAAGTGTGTTTGGATCCAGCTAATGGGGACATGGGCCATCAAGTCATGCAGAAAAAGGAGAACAAAAAGGTTAAACAGTCCTGGAGCTGCCTTGCAGCCTTGGCGCACGCCACGGCCAATTGCCACCGAACTATCCACCTGATCATGTTGGACAAAGTACACCGTGTTTTCATGCCACGCCATCAGCAACTGAATCAAGGACTGGCTAATGGGCAGATTTTGGAGTCTACTAAAAAGTTTGCCTCGATGTACACTGTCAAAAGCACGTTGAAGGTCCAAAAAAATTTGAAGCCCCCCATACAGCTGATGTCGCGTTGCTCCAGATGCTCTATGATGCGGGGTGGATCGGTGCAGGCCCAGTAATTGTCGCACATCAGCGCAGTGTAGGCTGACTCTTCGAATTGCATCCAGGGATGACCGATGTTCCATGAAACCCCAAATGGGAAACAGAATCATATGGTGGTACACCTCCTTCATGGCAAGTTGAATCAAAAACCCTATGACAGCCTTACCTACCGGTTCCTGGAGTGCCAATGGCCTCAAATTTTGGGGGGAAACCGGAGGCTTGGAAGGTTTCGGGATTAAGAAAAGCCAACCATGTCGCCATGAATCGGGTATCTTGGGGGGATTAGAGGCCCACCAATCAGTCAGTTTTGCATGGAGTAATGGAGCCAAAAAGGATGCATGCTGGCGCCAAACCATGCCAGGGGAAAATGGCTTTGCCACCGCTTTACTCGGTGGAATCTGACTCAGTGCCCGCTCAAGCTGCTGCACCGTGAATGGCACGCCTGGGGCGCTATCAAAGTGCAAATTCAGGCAGTCAGGTCCAGCCCAGGTGCTGGCGACAAACTGGTTCAACATGGCTGCACTTTCCACCGGGCTGGCCATATGGCCATCATCTGTGCGCAACTGAATTTGCTTTTTGGGTTGTTTGGGGGCATATCTATTGATTAACTGGAAGAGTTTGTGAGTGTCATGCCTCCGTGCTGCGGCTTCAGCCTGTGCAACAACATCATAAAACAAATTCTTACGGATTTGGAAGGCCAATTTTTTGTGAGCCCGTCGAAGCAAACAATATTTAGTGGCATGGTACCATCCCTTAAAGATGTTTGGCAACGTTCCCAGGCCTAGCCTCTGCATGCATCTACGATGGTCCCACTTGTTGAGCAAAGTGGGAAGAGCAGTTTGCCAAGCCGCAGGGCTGCGCTTGTGCTTGCCAGCTGGAAAATGCTCACAAAACTGTTGTAGCACATCTCGATGCAAGGTCTCCATGAATTCATCAGCTGGGAGGTCAGCACAAGCAAAGTGCGCCGCAATCTGGGTCTGTGTACAGTCAACAAAACTCAGCCAGTCAGAGTCCTGTGCCAAATAGGATTGCCTGCTGACCTGTCTCTGTTGCAGCGTTACCCGTTGAATCTTATGCTGTGAAAAACTGGGGATCCAATGCTTTGCCAGAGTGCACATCATGGGGACGTGTCCAAACTCAGTTTGATGAAGGAAGGGAGAGTCCCATAGATATCGCACCTGTCGAGCAGTGCCATCAGCGTACGGTTGCCGCACGCAGAAGTAGTCCAGTCTGCTTGCCTGGCTCCCATGCACAAATGTTGGACCCAAGGCCGCGCTCCAGCTATTGAGAACATTGAGGGCAAAGTGCCTCAATATTTGTTGAAAACGTGCCGCATCCGGGTGAATCAGCCCAGTGCAAAGACTCCCACGCCATCGAAATGAACCTGTTCCAATGTTCTGTCCGGATGCTCCCAGAGAGCAATTGAAATCTCCAAAGAGGATCAATCCATTGCGGCTAGGGAGACCTGTCAGCACAGTTTCCAAAAGAGTCCACCATTTGGCCCTAGCCTGTCTGCAGGAAGCCGTGGGCTGAAAAGTGTGCTGGTAGCACACCAGCAAGTCCAGGCTACGTGGCTGAAGATTCAGCCTCACATGTACCATCCTGCCACTGTCATGGAGCTGCCATTGAATCTGTGACGCCGCGCACACTCTTGTGGAAATCAGGAGTAAGATGCCTTTTCCACGTGGTTCACCTTCTCCTGAATGAATCATGTTCCAGTGCCCATCGGTCCATTGAGCATCATATGCCCATCTAGTCTCGACCAGAGCAGCTATGTCAATCTGATTCAATGTAAGCCATGCCTTCACCTCATCCAATTTCGGTGTGGAGAGTCCACTGCAGTTCCATTGCCAGACTGATAGGCGGCGCTTACTGGCATGGTGTTGGTTGCATCTGTGAAGGTCAGTGTTCCATTGACCATGAGTGACTGGTTGAGCACGTTGTAAGGGAACGGCACAGCCCATACGCTCAAAATCAGCAGTGCAAAAAAGCTTGCCTTTGTACCATGCCATCCCTTGTTGTTGGGAGCGCCGATAGGCCCTCTGCAAACTTCTCTTGACCACCTTGTTCTGTCTCTTCCTTGCAGTGTCAGGCACAATTGTTGTGCCGAAGCACGCTTGTGGCTGCAAGCCATGTAGCTTTGTTCCCATGTCAAGATGCGCATGGGGTGTGTTCTGAACTTCAGCGGCCATCATGGCCTGGCCGCAACCCTCGCCCCAACCACCTTGCCAAAGAGTCATGTAGAGATAGATGAGAGACAATAGCCAAAAGCCCAGTCTCGTGCTGCTCTTGTGAGGGTGGCGTCTGGATTTGGGACCAGACGTGCCCCGTGGAGTGTGGGTGCCCCCAGTGGAGCAACTGGACTTCCCTGCAAAACTTGTTTGTTCACTTACGTTCAAAAATGAGCCACCGAAAATGCAAAAATGAGAACAGAGCCAACGCAACTCAAGGGCACCTTTAGCCAGCAGGAGTGCAAGCCCAATCCAAAAAAATTGAAATTGAAATCGCCACCAAGAAAAATGAAGCCAGTGCCTCACAACTGTTAATACCGTCCAAAACTTCCCCCAGTGATAGAGCAGTCCACAATACAAGGTTGTGAATCTTGCCTTCCAATTAAAGTGAGCCGCAGGTGCTTGAAGGAAATGCCGCCGGGCCAGCCAAATCAAGGGAGCCCACCCCTCTGTGCCAAATTGAATTAATAGACCTCGAATGGGACAGTCAGAGTGGGTGCCCAGCCCTGTTGTGTGCAAAGAGTGTACCAACTGGCCAGGCAGTCTGTAACAGGAGCCAACCCTGCAGTTTGTTGGCACACCCAATGCACAATATTCCAAAAAATACTGCAAAAATCGTAAGGCTGTTGCAAAGGACCAATCTGCACCGCAAGAATGATGCAGAGACCCTCGGTGTTTGCGGCACACAATCGACAGGCCAGTCAGATATTCGGAGCCAATCCCGCAGTTTGTCGATTGTGGCCTACAATTAGGCAAAAATAAATTCAAATGAAAGAACTCCTGGTTAAGCCACGCTGTGATCTGCAAATCAACCGTTTGTGTCGAGTTGAATTGATTTCCACGCCAAAAAGGTCTGTCAGAGCAATTGCAGCCTGTAAAAAATTGAAGCTCAAATTTGTATGATGCCGGGCTGATCGTCAACTGGCCAGAAAGCAAATGCACGGAGCCAATCCCGCAGTGTGTTGACGTCAGCAGCTTGAAGATGTCAGGTGCAGGTGCCAAATGATAACCACGTAATGCCTGAAAGGTCAGCGGTCTGCTGTCTAAAAACTCTGTCTGGGGCAACCGCAACCAGCAGGTAGAGCACCAGTGCTCAGTTGGTTTCAAGTCAGCGCGTGAAAATAATGGAGGCTCAAATTGGGGAGAAAACAGGTTCCCGCAAGGAGGTTGTGTCCAAATTGCAGCACAAATTACAAAATTGAAAAGAATCCTGCCAGCAAGTTCCGTCGTCGTATCGGTCACTCTTCCGGCCCACACAGGCCCACAGCACAAGGAGGAAGATGAATGGGATGGAAATAAGATGTCAAACTAAATGGCAGCGCACAAATAAATCAGCAATGCAAGGCAACGGCTCAAGAAGTGAACGGATCGAAGCGGCCCAAACAAGTCAAAAATCCTAGCCCACACCGGGTGCTTGAACGCCACACTCGTGGTGGCACAGGGGCTTGTGTGTGTGTGATGTGTGTGTGTGTGTTGTGTGTGTGTAGGAGGAGGAGGAGGAGGCGGAGCCCGGGATACAGAATCAAAAACAAGAACCCCACACAAAGATGTGGGGAAAAATCCTGAGCAGATTCTTGCTCCATCTCGTTTTAAATTTTCCCCACTTTTGACTAGGGTCGGTGGGTGGGATTCGTCCCTTCGCTCCAGCGTCATTTAATTCATCCACCCACCCACCCACCTACCCACCCACCCACTCATCCACCTCCAAAGAAAAACAGCTTGTACAGAGCCACACCCTCAGCTCGACACGGCTGGGGACCAACAATGTCCCAATGTTAGATGAAAAGCGATTTCAGCAGATCTATCTTGTCTTGTCGCACACTCACATGTATGATCGAACTGTCTTATTGTGATTCCATCCGATGCTTGATGTTGTGATGCTTGTTCGGCGCACGATGTAACCCGAGCAGAAAGCACTGCGAGATATAGATATAGATATAGATATAGATATCGATATAGATATAGAAATAGATAAAATATCGATATAGATATAGATAAAAATATAGATATAGATAGACAGATAGATAGATAGGATTAGATAGGATTAGATATGATTAGATAGGATTAGATAGGATTAGATAGGATTAGATAGGATTAGATAGGATTAGATAGGATTAGATAGATGGATAGATCGATCGATCGGTCGATCGATCGATCGATCGATCCATAGATAGATAGGATTAGATAGATAGATAGGATTAGATAGTTAGATAGATAGATAGATAGATAAGATAGATAGATAGACAGATAGATAGGATTAGATAGGATTAGATAGGATTAGATAGGATTAGATAGGATTAGATAGGATTAGATAGGATTAGATAGGATTAGATAGGATTAGATAGGGTTGGATAGATAGATAGGATTAGATAGGATTAGATAGGATAGATAGATAGGATTAGATAGATAGATAGACAGACAGAGAGACAGATAGATAGATAGATAGATAGATAGATAGATAGATAGATAGACAGGATTAGATAAGATAGATAGATAGAAGGATAGATAGATAGATAGGATTAGATAGGATTAGATAGGATTAGATACTTGTAATTGAACAGTTGTGGTTGTAGTTGTGGTTGTAGTTGTAGTTGTGGTTGCTGTAGCGGTTGTAGTGGTTGTATATGGTGGCTGTAGTTGTAGTTGTAGTTGTAGTTGTAGTTGTAGTTGTAGTAGTAGCAGTAGTAGTAGTAGTAGTAGTAAGTAGTAGTAAGTAGTAGTAATAGTAGTAGTAGTAGTGGTGGTGGTGGTAGTAGTGGAGTAGTGGAGTAGTGGAGTAGTGGAGTAGTGGTAGTGGTAGAGGTAGCGGTAATGGTAGTGGTAATGGTGGTGGTAGTAGTAGTAGTAGTAGTAGTAGTAGTAGTAGTAGTAGTAAAAGTAGTAGTAGTAGTAGCAGTAGCAGTAGCAGTAGCAGTAGCAGTAGCAGTAGCAGTAGCAGTAGTAGTAGTAGTAGTAGCAGTAGTAGTAGGAGTAGGAGTAGGAGTAGGAGTAGGAGTAGGAGTAGGAGTAGGAGTAGGAGTAGTAGTAGTAGTAGTAGTAGTAGTAGTAGGAGTAGGAGTAGGAGTAGGAGTAGGAGTAGGAGTAGGAGTTGTAGTAGTAGGAGTTGTAGTAGTAGTAGTAGGAGTAGGAGTAGGAGTAGGGGTAGGGGTAGGAGTAGGAGTAGGAGTAGGAGTAGGAGTAGGAGTAGGAGGAGTAGCAGTAGCAGTAGCAGTAGCAGTAGTAGTAGTAGTAGTAGTAGTAGTAGTAGTAGGAGTAGGAGTAGGAGTAGGAGTAGGAGTAGGAGTAGTAGTAGTAGGAGTAGTAGTAGTAGTAGTAGTAGGAGTAGGAGTAGGAGTAGGAGTAGGAGTAGGAGTAGGAGTAGGAGTAGGAGTAGGAGTAGTAGTAGTAGTAGTAGTAGTAGTAAAAGTAGTAGTAAAAGTAGTAGTAAAAGTAGTAGTAGTAGTAGTAGTAGTAGTAGTAGTAGTAGTAGTAGTAGTAGTGTTGGAGCAAACTGAAAATAGTTTATTCACGAATGTGCATTGACTTTCAATTCAAACGATTCTGCCTGTCGGTTCAAGTGGAGGGCGGGTGGGCCCCTGCGATTTTTGATTTTTCGGCAACCCACCACCAGCCCCAACACCACCTGGAGAGTCATCGTGGTCGACATCAACCGACTTTTTTTCATTTGTTTCCACTGGTCGTAAAGCGACCTCTTTGGCAACACGCCATGCCCGCAGCCAAGAGTTCATCAGAAGAGTGGCGTGTGAGAATAATACATACGTTTTTTCACATTGTCAATGCCACCCTCGCGGTAATTTTTGAAACTTCAGTTGGCCAGCCATGATCTTGTTTATTGTAGTTTGGTGTCCGAATCCTAACTGATTTCGATCGTTTGCAACTAAAAATGGCCTACAAACTTTGCAAGCGGGGACAAAGGGTACCCTTTTCCCGAATCGTTCAGGTAATGAATTGTTCGTGCTTGTCAACCTGGTGTTTGCACAAAAAACCACTATCATCTCATCCCATCAAGGAAACACAGACCGGGTGGAGGTCCCGCGATTGTCCCTAAGAAGGTCACGTGACCCAGTCGTCAGTCGTGTATCCCCATTGAACCGTGGTCCGAGGGACGTCACTGCAAGGCTCTTGGAAATTCGATCTCGAAATGAAACACCAATATAGCTGCTATAAACAAGGTAAACTCAACAAAAAAACAAATCCCCTTTTTCAAGGTTCATTCTAGCCCGATAGTAATACTACGTACCATCACCATCCCCAATAGCGGGTCGTTGTCCAGGCCACTGGCCATGTACCGGCCGCGTGTGGAACCGCAGGAAAGTCAGTGCAGAAAAATCCAGTTGAAAAACGGTGGTTGCATATCTTTCATTAGTGTTTTTAGCTGAATGTGATGGCCAACGTTTCGGCTCAGTTGTCATCAACATTTGAGGACACACAGTTTTTCTCCTCGTTTTGGGTGCATTTTTTTTTTTGACAGGTTTGAAAGTGCAGAACCCTTGGCGACCCATGCGCAGGGATTGGTGAAACTAATCTGCCCATGAAGAGCGTCCTCATTGCGCTGGCCAACACACCACCAACCGAACACGAAAAAAGGACGGATCTGCCAAGTTCAAAATGCAAAATCAAAAAAAACAGTTCAACAAAAAAAAACAAATCTAAACGAAAAAACATAAACGATCATAAACGTATCTTTATATTCAACATTAAATATTCTCGTATGTACTGTTTGTGGCATTGAGTTCTTCAACCATGTCTTGATCAAATGGATGCCGCAGCAAAACAAGAACTTATGTTGGTCTGAAACGAAAGTCAGCAGAGTGGGTACAGCCCAGAAGACGTAGAAACAAAACAACTTTGATTTTTGCGCACTTGGAACGATCATAATGCATCAAAACTCTGCCGACATCGAGGCCAACATTTGAAACACAAACCGGTCCCACACAAGGCACAATGATGCCATAGGTCGCGCC